TTTGATTTCTATTCACACTTTCTTTTTTCCGTGAATATATTTTGTTCAAACAGTTAGAGAGCCACAAGGTCGACAGTTGTGAGGCCGAGGCCAGATGAAAATGTCTACGAAGTGGGAGGCACAGGCATGCTGAAGTGTCTGAAGGTTAAGAGACTTCGCTAGGTGAGAGTTTAGGTAAATGTCTCAGGTAAATATGCAGTCAGGAAATAATATATAGTGGAAGAAATGACTTCTCTGAAAGTTTTTTTAAAAGTATTTAATGTGGAGCTTTGAGACACACTGACCCACTATTAATTACTTTAGAAGGTTAGCGTCTCAGTATTGGTGAATGTTTGTGGATGGTAGGTGGAGCCCGATCCTCGTCTAGCCTCTGGCTGCAAAAACTATCTCAACTGAAATCTTTTTAGAAAAGGGCCAAAAACAAAAAATGGGAAACTAGAAGATATAATAAAGGAAATGGGCAAGATAAGGCAAAATGTATTATTACGTCTTCGGGCGGATGAAACAAACAAACAAACAAACATACATACATACAAACAAATAATATCTCTGTCAAAACAGGTGATAAAACAATAATACGTTCACAAGGAAGAACACATGAGAGAGGTGTAGGAATTTTATAGCATGAAACAATATAAAAGACGATCAACAGTTTGTAGAGTTGGTTGGGGGGAGGCGGGGGTGTCAGAAGTTATCATCGTAGATGGGGGTGGAATTAGAAACTAAATTGATTTCATGCTTAGTTCTCTACAGAAACGATTCAGAAATGCCCTAAGATCACCTGAATCACTGCTTGGTCCAGATTAAGATAGAGACAATGTAACGATTAGATGTAGGATAGCGATAAAGTTTTTCAAAAATCAGCTTTTAAAAAGTCAAAACACCAAACCAAATTTCAAGAAAATCTTTTAAGGACAAATCAAAAATTGAGTGAACGTTTATTCATTTGTGTAACTAATAAATTTCATGCTCTGGAAACCTAACTATATGTAAATTTGAACAATTAATTATGGGGGGGAGAACAATTTCCCGGTGAATTGAGATGATCCAGCAAATGTCTAAAGCTTTATACCTCTTCACTTCTGACATTGTTCCCTCAGACATAAACAAACACCCGAACATTTAAGTATACTGTCGTCAGACGTCAGACGGGGTATTCGAGGTGGGGAAGGCCACTCAGGACATTGATAGAATCCTCATCATGCTGAGGGAGAGAGAGCTGTCCAATCCCGTTAGGGAATACCACACCAAACCTTTCGCTTTTTCTCTGCCGCCCCACACACCGTTGAGATGTGCAGAGGTGCAGCTCTTGTGCCACCAAGCTCCGGAGTACCGTTTGGCACAGTGGAGTGTATTATCGGCATCGTTGTCCCGGTCTTTGGTTGAGAATGGTTGACCATTGTTGTACGCCATGTCGTCGGGAACACTACCAGAAAATCCGGAGATGTGAAGCTTGTACTTGTCCTCTTCCCCTGACAACGAGAATCAGAGAACATTAATTTACGAAAACTCATTGAAGAGGGAAATGTGAAGAAAGTTGAGGACGAGATTACAAAGAGACTAGAAAACCAAGACACCAGTCCAATGAACGTTGAAGAAACATGAACTCTCTTTATAAACTTGCTAACAGAAACACTGATAAAAGTATTTGGAAAGAAGAGAATTGGGAGAGGACCCATTAAAGGAACACCACGCCTAATGGCAGCGTCAAAGAGGCCATCAAAGAAAAGAAGAAACTTTAAGAAATGGATAAAATCCAAAAACGAAATGAACTACACGATATACAGACTAGCAAGAAGGAAATGCAAAAGAGTTATTAGAGCATAAAAAAATGAATCACGGACAAAATATGGAGAACACCTCAGCAAACTGTGCCATAAATCACCAAGTGACTTTTACAGAAATATAAAATTAATGTGGCGCAGAGAAGAACCGTACGACCCGACAGCTATAATTAATGACAAAACAGGAAACCTCATTATTGACAGCTCTAAAATCAAATCTAAATGGAGGGAACATTTTCTCAGAACTCTTGAACACCACTCAAAAGAAAACAAACAAACAATTCCACCCAAGTCATCTAGAGGAAGAAGAGCCAACCATCCTACCATCAGAGGTCAGACAAGAAGTAAAAACCAGCCCAAAAAACAGAAGCGCAGGAACAGATGAGCTCACCACGAAGACATCCTAGCATGTGGTGAAACTGGAATAACTTTGCTCACAAAAATCTTCCAGAAAGCATGGACAGAAAGAAAAGTTGCCGGGGACGGGCAAAAAGCGGTCATAGTACCAATCTGGAAGAAAAAAGGCAGTAAGAGAGACTGTGGAATGTTTAGAGTCATTTCACTGCTACGCCATGTGGGCAAGATGTTCGCCAAGATATTGTTGGAATGGCGAACAAGACACAAAGTTGAACCATTTTTGAGTGAGGCCTAAATGGGATTTAGAAAGGGAAAAGGATGCACCAACGCAATATTTGACCTACGACAAATGTGCGAAAGTGCCATAGAACACAAATGGGAACTAAACATAGTATTTGTCGACCAGGAGAAAGCATTTGACAGAGTGAACAGAAACAAGCTGAGGAAAGAACTCGAAGACTATACTGTAAGAGGCAAACTTCTAGATAACATCCGTGCCATTTACAAAAATAGTATAAGTACAGTAAGAACGTCAGAGGGACTCACAGAATGGTTCGAGGTAACATCGGAGTAAGACAAGGTTGTGTCCTATCTTCACTACTATTTATCATATATATTGATAGAATTACAAAAAAGGCAACACAGAACCAGACATCCTAAATGAATTACTCTTCGCCGATGACCAAAGCCTGGCATACACTTGCGCACACACACACACACACACACACACACACACACACACACACACACACACACACACACACACACACTTCGGTA